CTAATGATCTAGTGAAGGCAGAGCTTCCCACAAGCAAGAGCTCATATGCCCTGATCACCATCTGCAGCCTCTCCATCTTTTTCCGTTTTCCAGTTCCACACGAACCCCAGCACAGCCCGTGAGAACTGAGAGCACTGGCCTTTTTCTCAGGCAAAACAGCACAAAACCAAACAAAAAATGTTTTCCACTGTCATGCTGGCTCATATGCTGAACTTCACTTGACATTACCTCCTGGAGAGAATAAGAAGGGGAAATTGAGAACAAATGTCGCTGCTGAATGATTAAAAAAAAAAAGCCCAACACATTTTGAGCGCAGCATTTGAGCAGACTGCACGCCAGAACAAAGCAGTGGTTCCCTCTGAGCCCCTCACGCCTGAGCTGCTTGGCCAACTTCAGCCAAATCTGACAGAGTGCTAAAAAACACAAAGCTGAGTTTCTTCATTAAAGAAACGTGTGAGGAGAGGCAGCTATTCCATGGAAATGTCCTTTATCAGAGCATCTCCAAGGAAGAACCAACAGCCACGCTCTAACACCAAAAATCCAAAGAACTGACTGCCTAAAGAACTGACTTCTCTCAAGGTGTTCTTCCCCTACCTTAAAGCTCACCCTGTCCTTGCCAGTGCAGCTCGGTGAAGGACAGACTGGGAAAGGTTTTACTTTGGCAGATCCTGCCCCAAACACCTTGGAGCTCCATTTCAGGTTTTACTGATGGCAGGTTGGAGTGGTTCTGCTCGTTTGGACCAGGCAGCAGAACTCGCCTGTGTTCCCATCCCTGCTGCTCAGCATGCCCAGCTGGGGCAGGAATTCACCCCAGAGCAGCCACAGGTGATTCTGGAGAGCATCATCCTGCTGGGACACCACCTCCCAACAAGCACACTGGAAATGTCCAAAGTTCACACCAGCTGGAAGAGGTTTTATCTTAATTAAAGGACATAAGTGGGGGAAAAAAACAGTGCTAAATCCCTCAAAAGCCTAAATCCGGGTTGAAATCAGATATTTAATTTTTGCCCTTCAGCTGGCAGCCAAGTTGCCTGACGGGGAGCTCTTAATGACTTTTAGTGCTGGGTTACACAACAAAAAGTGCACATGCTGGAAGAGAGCAGATTTTGCAGCAAAGACCCCTCCACACCCCCAGTGAGGCAGAGTCACCAGAGCTGTCCTCCCTTCCAGTGCAGGGAGGGAATCACTTTTAGAGTGGTTCTGGCATTTTCACCTGGCAATTTCTACATTAGCAGCTCTTGCCAGACAGACAAACATCCTTGTGCTTTCCTGAGCCCATCTTGAGGAAAACACTATTCCTGGCAGTGCTGTTTTTTTATTTCAAGTCTTTAATTGTTTCAGAGCAGTAGGTTGTGTCATTTAAGGCCAGAGCTCTGCAGCCCTCTCACAAAAGAAGACTAAACAGAAGTTACTGTTGGTGTCAGCTCAGCTGGACTGATAGCTGAGCACCCACACCTTTAGCTAATAAATAAATAAATCTGGTTTTCAGTGCCCTACCCTGAGATGCTTTGGGCAGGCAGGTGTGGTAAATGGGGGCATGAGCAACAGTTGTGGGGGAGACAGGAGTGAGAAAACAGAAAGAGCCTGATTGAAGTTAAGGAGCACTGTTAAAGCAGCATGAGCTGCTCTGTGTCCTGAACCTGCACCTCCCTCAGATCCCAGCAGAGGCAGGACAGCAACCCAGACTCCTGTGAACTCACCAGACAAGTAGAGCTGTAAGGGGGTTCAGAACTAAGAGAGCCCAATGTACACCACCATAAATCACAGGCAAAAAGAGGAAAGGAAAAAAGGCAGAAAAGTCATCACAGGATCTGGCTTTACTTATTGAAAGGCACAGTTCCAAGGCTAGGGGTTTTAAACCCCAATTTACCACGGGAAACTTCATTTGATGAAATCCAAAAAGGAACAGATGCTGCTCATGTGCAGCCAGCATGGCAGCTGAGCTCGGCACAGCACGGGCAGAGATGTAGAGACAGCAGACAGCCCAGCTCCTGCAGGGACAGACGGGGCTTAAGGAGCCAGCACCCCCTCCTGCTGGGGGCTCAACAGCCTCGAATGAAAGCTCTTTTTCCCCTCAGTACAGGTAGAGCTAGCTCTCCTTGTCTTCTGGTCCATTTGCACACAAGCGTGGAGAACATGCTGGTTTTGAGACCTGCTGTGAAGCTGCTCTGACAGTCCCAGGCCGTCCAGGCACTGGGGCAGAGGCACCAGGCTGCTGTCCCCAGAGCAGGACTGAAAACGGGGCTAAAAACACGTGCACAGCGAGAGAGGAGAGTCTCTATTCAGCTAACTCAAGTCACAAGTCACCGTGAACGCCACGGACCCGAGACATGGCACCAAGGTGCCAGGTGCCACCTGAGCCGTGCGGTCACCCCAGCTGTGCTGCCAGCCTCATGCCACCACGCTAACGCTGCAGGACAGAACCTTCCATCACCGCTGTTCTTCTGTGTAAAAACAAGTAATTCTGAGAACTCTGGTGAGCTGAGGTAGGAGAACTGGAACCAGGCTTGGGTTACCGGCCAAGGACACCACAAATCCTGCTCCTCACATGCCTACCTAGTGCCCTAAACTGAGTGTGCAAGTTCCTAGCGGCCCACTTGTGCAGAATCAGGGGATTTTTCAGCATTTCACACAGCCACATGCTTGCAGGTTGGTCATTAATGCAATTTATAAACCACATTTCTATACAGACCAGTCCCATTCTGGAGTACTGGAAAGTAGCAGCAGCTCCTCTGCCCGAGCCCTCGGCCCCAAGCTTTCACCCACACTGGTAACTCAGAACAAGCCTAACCAGGAGCCTTGCTCTTGCACTCTCAAGCCAGCACAGGTTTTACAAGAGTTTAACTGTTTCCCCGTGGTACTAAAACTAAGCAGGTCTAAGAACGCTCACTCGTATTTCACAGTGTAACAGGAAAGCAGCTCCCTCACACTCGGGCCATCCCCAAGACCCAGACAAGAGTCCCCAAATCTTCCTGTCAGGGAGGCTTTAGCAGACACGAGTGTCACGCAGGTGTCCGCGGGCTGCAGGCAGCCGGGCCGTGCAGAACGTGCTCCCACTCGGGCAGGATGAGCCGGATCCGCACAGCCCACGGCCAGGGAGAACCGGAGCCCCAGGAGCAGCCCCGGCCACGAAAGGAGGCTGCGACCACGGCCGGGAAAAGCCGGCCAGAAAACTCACACAGGGATGAAGCGAGCACCCAAAACCCCTCCAGAGGCACAGCTTCTTGTGTGATAACGAGAGAAGGAGGGAGGAGAGGAGCAGCCCGGCCAGGAGGGGAGGTTGTGAACCGAGGGAAACCGCGTCAGGAAACTTACACGGGGACCGAGCTCGCTCCCCGAAACCGAGCGCTCGAACCCCCCCGAGCCACGGGTTTCCACAAACTCGATAAAGAAACCAGCACAAGTCTTTCATCCCGCTACAGCAGCGGCTCCAGGCAGCCCGGCTGGGAAGTTGCATTATCAGAAGGAGCTGGAAGTTGCTGGGCGCACGGCTCGCTCCGTGCCCGGGCCACACGGACACGCGGGGCTGGGGCGGCGAGCCCTGCCCGCGCCGCTGAATGACCCGAGCCCCCGGCCGCCAGCGGGGACACAGCCGGGCGGGGTTGGGGTTAGAGCAGCCCCACTCGGGGGGTCAATCAGTTAATTAATGAATTAGCGCTCCGCCAGCAGCCAGGGCTGCGGCTGCGGCGCGGGCGGTCCCGCTCCCCTCCCGGGCCGCGGGGCCCCGCCATGTGCCCGCCGGGCCGGGCCGGGCCGGGCCGCAGCGCCGCGCCCCGCGGCCGCAGCACTGACCTTGGTGTCCCCGTTGCACAGGGCCATGGGGGCGGCGGGCAGCGCGAAGAAAGGGCCGCGAGGAGCCGCGGCCGATGAGCTAATGCCGCCCGCGGGAGGAGGAGCCGCCCGGCACGGCCGCTCCGGCGGAAGGGGAGGAGCGGCGGGGTCAGGGGCGGGACGGGGATGCGGGGACACGGCGGGACACGGCCCGAGAGCCCCGGCACGCCGAGGGGCTTGGGCTCCGGCGGCTCATTTTGTTCTGTTGTCAGGGTAAAAGCAATCAGAGCTTTGTGCGTGAGCATCCTCTGGTGCCATGGGATCGCTGGCTGCTCGGGGTTGGGAGCTTAACGCCCTTCCCGTCCCACCCCCTGCCGTGGGCAGGACACCTTCCATCGGCCAGGGTCCATCCTGGCCTTGGACACTGAACCTGCTGTGCCTGCTGGGTGAATTCCCCAGCGGACACCGCAGAACGTGACTGCATCCCTGGAACCCTCCTGGAGCGGTCCCGGGGCGGTTTGGGTGCCTCTCCCTGAGCATCAGTGTAAATAGAAGGCATGGAGAAAGGGCTGGATGAAGGAATTCTGGTTAAGATGAAATCACACACCAGCGTCTGGTTCTGCTGTCAGATTCCAAATGGTTCTGTCCTGAGGCTGATTGATAGAAATGTACAGGTTTTGTTCAAAATCGGGGTTTCTGGTCTGTCGTTTTTTGGGATGTGTCATTCTTTTACATTCTATTTACACTGCATTCAAGCAGGGTTATCTCAGAACACATGGCACAGGATTGTGTCCAGACAGGTCTGCAGTATCCCCAGTGAGGAGACTCCACACCCTTTCTGGTCTCTGTTACAGTGCTCGCAGCAAAGATCTTCCTTCTGTCGAGCTGGAACCTCCTGGGCTCAGTCCCGGTGGCTCCGGTGCCATTGCTGGGCCCCCGGAGCAGAACCTGGCGGAGCAGAGCTCTGAGCCTCCCTGAACCCAGGGACAGCCAGGGCTGAGGGCCCCTCTCGAGGCTGAATAGCCCCAGCTCCCTCGGCCTTTCCCGGGCACGGAGACGCCCCGTGATCCCGACCCCAACGCCGGTTCCCGTTCCCGGTTCCGCTCCCGCTGCCCCTGCCCCGTCAATCAGGGTCAGCGGGGCGGTGCTATGCATGACGTCACTCCCAGTGCACCAATGAGGGGCGGCCACGCCTGGCCCGCGCGGGGCGGGGCGGTTCCCTCAGCGCGGCGGCGCCGGGGCCGCTGCCGGGCCGCTGCCGGACATGGCGCCCGCCATCGCCGCTGAGGAGGGCGGCCGGCAGCGCCGCGCCGCCACCCGCCAGCACAGCCTGGACCTGACGGGCGACCCGCCCCACGACGGGCTGCCCGGGGACACCGAGGCGCTGCTGCCGGCGCCGGCGCGCGGGTACCGCGCGGAGCTGGGCAGCATCCTGCTGCTGCTGGTGCTGTACGTGCTGCAGGGCATCCCGCTGGGGCTGGCGGGCAGCGTGCCGCTCATCCTGCAGAGCAAGAACGCCAGCTACACCGACCAGGCCTTCTTCAGCTTCGTGTTCTGGCCCTTCAGCCTGAAGCTGCTGTGGGCGCCCTTGGTGGACGCCGTGTACCTGCGGGGCTTCGGGCGCCGCAAGTCGTGGCTGGTGCCCACGCAGTACGTGCTGGGGCTCTTCATGATCTACATGTCCACGCAGGTGGACGCGCTGCTGGGCGACGGCCGCGGCCGCGGCCCCGACGTGGCGGCCCTGACCGTCACCTTCTTCCTCTTCGAGTTCCTGGCGGCCACGCAGGACATCGCGGTGGACGGCTGGGCGCTCACCATGCTGTCCCGGGAGAACGTGGGCTACGCCTCCACCTGCAACTCCGTGGGGCAGACGGCCGGCTACTTCCTGGGGAACGTGCTCTTCCTGGCCCTCGAGTCCGCCTCCTTCTGCAACAAGTACCTGCGCTTCGAGCCGCAGCCGCGGGGCATCGTCACCCTCTCAGGTACGGGTGTGCCGGCGCGGAGCCGTGCGCTGGTTTGGAAGGGACTAAAGAGATTCCCTGCCACGGAGGGACACCTCCCACTGCCCCCTGTGCTCCCAGCCCCAGTGTCCGGCCTGGCCTTGGGCGCTGCCAGGGATCCAGGGGCAGCCACAGCTGCTCTGGGCACCCTGTGCCAGGGCCTGCCCGCCCTCACAGGGAAGGATTTTTTCCTAATAATAATGGTTGTATCTTCCTCAGGATGCTTGTTCCCTGTGCCTGGACCCCTCTGTGGTTTGATGCTGGGAACCAAACAGGTTTGGTTTGTCCCTTGCCCCGTGGGAAAGCACAGCCTCCTTGGAGGCTGGCAGAGCCCACTGCTACATGCACTGGACTTCAGACTTTTCTGGGCTAAAGTGTGTGGAAAACCTGCCTCGTCATTATCTTGACTGACCTAAGCACTTTGGAAGAACTCTTTTTTTCCTTCCTAGTTTAATGGGCATGGAGTAGATTACTCTTTAAAAAAAGCAAGCCGAAGTCTCCATGTGGGAAGAAGAAAGAGGGGAACCAAAAAAAAAAAAGTTTCTTCCAATATATTTCTCACAGAACAGAGGTGAAAGTGTTCAGGGCTGAGCATGTAGCCAGTTTCTCAAGGAAGGCCTTATTTTAGTAAATTAAGGGGGATTTGCTTTTTCTCTTTAGCAATTAAATGGAGTGTGGTAATCCAAGCATAACTGGCCGTCAGAGGAGGGATGTTTCTGTCTGATGGGGTTTGGGATTTTTCTCAGAAGGGCTCTGTGTTGTTGATGTTAGGGGTATTACCCTGGAGATGCTTCATGTGCAGCTGGTTTGGTTGCAAGGGTGAGGGAGGACAGGAATCTGGCAGCCTCAGGGTGACCCTGGCAGGGATCCCCGTGGTCTCAGTCTCTGCTCCCCCTCACACTGGCTGCCTTGCCTGTGCCATCTCAAAGCTCAGGTGTGCCAGAACAGGCTGGAATTGTCGTGTGAAGGGCAGCTTTGCTTTCTGCCCTGCCCGTTCCTCAGGGATGAATCAGGACAGCAGTGTCCGCAGCTGCTGTGCTTGCCTGGTCTCTGCAGCTCTCAGCACTGCTCACCAGTCCTCCTCTGTGCTCCCTGCTGCCAGCCTCGTGCCTGGCCTGTGTCAGGGAGCACAGAGTGGCCCTCCAAGTGTCCCAGCAGGTTCCTGGCTTTCCCTGGAGCTGTGCAGCTCTGGGCTGGTGTGTCCATCCTCTCATTGCAGTGCACACTGACGTCTTTGCTGCTGATGCAACTTGCAGCCACTGCTGTTCAGACAGCTTGGCTTGGCTGTACTTCCCTTACTGCCCAGGGTTTTGGTTGTTTAAAGGTTTTTTCTCTCAGGGCTGTCTGTATAAATGGGTTTGTTATTATTACAAAAGGGCTGTTTTTAAAAGACGTTATCCCCAAACCCAAACAGCAGCAATGCCACCTCCTTAACCTGCCCTGGAGTATTGATGTGGGTGGAGTAAGAACAGCAAATAACTGACACTGTAGTTGCAGGATATGGTTTTTCAGGTAGTAAAACTGTAAGAAATTTCTGTTTCTCACTCGTGTGAGTGGCACAGTTTGGTGTTTCCCTGGAGCAACCGAGAGCAGCAGGAATAACCAGCTCACCAAGGAGCACAGGGGCTCACTGGTCCTTGCCCTGGCTGTAATGAGCAGGTTTGGGCAGGTAAAGCAGCAGAAAACTTCACTGCTGGAAAAGGTGAATGTTCTCTGACAGCTCAGATCTCTGAGCACTTTTGTTGTAGGCTGAGCCCAGTGCCAGGGAAAGAACAGAGTCAACACTCCATGATCCAGAGGGGCAGCACCCAGAGGGAACAGCTGGAGCTGGTCAGGGGATGTTTAGTTTGGATATCAGGGAAAGCTTCTTCCCCAGAGGGTGCTGGCACTGCCCAGGCTCCCCAGGGAATGGGCACAGCCCCGAGGCTGCCAGAGCTCCAGGAGCCTTTGGACAGCACTGCCAGGGATGTGTTGTGCCAGACCAGGAGCTGGGATGAGCTGTGGGTCTGTCCCAACTCAAGATACTCTGTGATCCTAAGTCAGCTTTGAGTTGTTGAGAAGCAGCAGCAGCATTCATTGTTCTCATTAACTTCAGGAAATAATGTGGACAAATGTAAACCCACCATCAAATTCACCAAAGCAAAGGCTGTGTTGGGCTGTGCCAGGCTGAAATGCCGGAGAAGGAAACAGGAAAAACCCTTCTGTGGGCTGATTGTCCTGGCACATCCAGAGGCTGATTTAGCACTTAAGAAGCAGCAGCATTCATTGTTCTCATTAACTTCAGGAAATAATGTGGACAAATGTAAACCCACCATCAAATTCACCAAAGCAAAGGCTGTGTTGGGCTGTGCCAGGCTGAAATGCCGGAGAAGGAAACAGGAAAAACCCTTCTGTGGGCTGATTGTCCTGGCACATCCAGAGGCTGATTTAGCACTTGCTGTTCAGGTGACTTATATTTTTTTTAAAGCAGGGGAAGCTCCCTGACTGGGTTTGTGATTCCTGCCTGGTTTGCCCATTCCAGGGAAAGGGAAGGACAGGGAAAGAGTGAACACAGGACAAAGGTGCCCCTCAAAGGCCACCCCCACTTACCTGTGCCAGGGACTGTGGAGCACCCCTCCTCCTGGGAGGGGATCCTGTACCTGTACCACGTGGGTACCTTCTTCATGGCTGTTTTCCAGCCTGATCCATCCCTGATCTAGTTCAAAAACTTGTTTTACCCCATCTCAGTGGTTTATTTTGTTAGCAGCAGTGTAGCTGCAGAAACAAAATAGGGATTGGGGAAGCAGCAGTGGTGGGACCAGAAAGTTTGTCCTTGAAATCCCTTACGCAAACTCTAATTTCAAAGTTCTCTTGCTCGTAGCCTGTTAGTGAGGTTCCTTGCATTTGAAAGGAAATGTACCTTATTTTTATGTAAACTGCCTCAGCCTCAAAAGCCCTTTTTTGTCGTAACTACTATATATATATGTATGTGGTGGGTTTTTTTCTTTTTTTCTTGCTTTGCTTTGTTGCTGATGCAGCCCCTGCAGTGCTGTGCTGCAGCTGACAGGGCTGGCCTGATCAGGAGCACTCATGTGATGATGCTCAGAGCTATTTCTATCCCCATCCTTGCACTGTGTCTCTCACTGCAGTGATAATGCTCAGGGTTATTATTAGAGAACTGCTCCTCTACATCCTTTGTAGCCAGCAGCTGTGGTTGGTGAGACTCTCAGAAAATGCATCTTTCCTTGAGAATGTCTCTTCAGGGCACCTTATTTTTTAAGAGAGAGCAATCTGATGCTTGTGAGGTCACGTTTATTTTAGGAAGGGGAGAAGTAGCAGAAATGGCATGAAAAGCCTATTTTTCTGTTACCTTGGGAATGGTGGGACACACCTGGAGCAGTCCTTGCATTTCCTCCACGCTTCCCTGCTGTGCACGAGGAGCAGGCGATGATTGCCCGAACTTTGTCTCTGCCCTTCCTTTCCCCAGCCCCAGCTGCTCCTGCCGGGTCTCCCGGAGCTGCTGGAGCTGCTCCTGACCAGGAGGGCTAAAGGCTGCTCCTGTCCTACCCCCTGCACGTGGCTGAGCTCTTTCCTGCCTCTGTCGTAGAGGCAGAGGATAGGATGATCTTGAACTGGCCATTCTCTAAATCAGCAAGTACTCTCTGGTGGTTTTTTACTGCCCCACATCCACGATTTAGCAGATACTGATCTGCCTAAACGGAGCACTGGAATGCTGCCAAGGATCCACGTCAGCCAGACAAATCTGAGGGCTCCTTACAACTCTGTAAAAGCTTTCCTCAGGCCATCTTCAGCCTCCTAAACCCCTGTTTCCTGCAGGTGGGAGATGGATATTAGATAGGGATGTAGAGCTGGGGCACAGAGTGGTTCCCTGACTGCAGGGTAAGGGAGGAGCTGGCAAGGAGCTCTGCCTCTGGAGGTTCTTCCCTGTTTTCTAACTATTACATGTGGTTTTCCTCCTTTATCAGCCTGTAGTGGCTGTGTGTGTAATCCTTCAACACGTTCATTTTTGCTTCTGTTCCTCCTCCAACACGCTCACTGTGGTAATAACCCCCCAAACAGCAGGGAGGTGACCTGGTTTGCTGCTGCTCCTCTGCCCCAGCTCCAGCAAACACCTCCTTTCAGAGGAGGGCAGAGCTGTGGCACTCACTGTATGTAGACCTGTGCTTGTGGTTTGCTTTTGCTGCTTGTTTTTATTCCACTTTGATTGTTAGGTTTGTGTTCTACAACTGTCAATCATGGCTGCTACTAAGAAATTTTTATTTTATTTTATTTTCCCCTCCAGATTTCCTGTTTTTCTGGGGAGCTGTCTTCTTGATTACCACTACATTGGTTGCCTTTTTGAAAAAGGAAAACCAGGAGCTAATACCAGCAAAGGAAGAAACAAAAGGCATCACTGACACATACAGGCTGCTATTCTCAATAATCAAGATGCCAGCAGTTCTTACTTTCTGTCTCTTGATCCTCACTTCAAAAGTACGTAAATACCTTTAAGAATTGTTAAATGCTGGCATCAGGCTCTAGAAGGCTGCTGAATGTAACTTAGTTTTGCTGTTGGCTGTCACAAGAGTTGTGAATTTTCACATGAAATTCAAGCAGAATGGGTAATCTCATTGTGCTGAGCAGGGCTGTGCAGCAGAAAAGATTTGTGAGAGCTTTTGTGTTTGACACAAACATTGAAGAGAAGTTTGGTGGCAATGTAGTGTTAAAGTAAAGTACATTTTTAAACAGGCTGTGTAGCCTGCAGTTAAAAGGACAGAAAATGTTTGTTTTTAGCTCAGAATCCCCAGCTCTGTCCAAGCTGTTTCCATGGCTCCTAGCTGGACACTGAGGATGCCAGCAGCAGTGAAGGCACAGGAATGAATGGCAGTGCTACTTAATGTTCCTGGAATAGTTTTGGCTGGTGACAGTAAGAGTGTGCAAGTGCAGAACATGTAGAACTTATTTGGAAATCACATCGGGGCAGAAGTGACTTCAGTGACAGTGTGTTCTGTATGCCATTTCTCAGTTTACGTGATAGGGAGTAAATTGCATTTCTAGCCAAACTCCCTGTTCTCCTTGGCTTATTTTGTCTCCCTGACATTGCAGGTTGGGTTTTCAGCAGCAGATGCTGTAACAGGACTCAAACTGGTGGAGGAGGGAGTCCCCAAAGAGCACCTGGCTCTGCTGGCAGTTCCAATGGTTCCTTTGCAGATCATCTTGCCTCTGGTTATCAGCAAATACACAGCGGGCCCCCAGCCCCTGAACACCTTCTACAAAGCAATGCCTTACAGGTGAAGCCTCATGTTAGTGGAACACAGTAATATGTGTGCTCAGTTTGTGTGTTCAGATCACCTGTAGGGTTTTGTGTGTAACTCTCTGACTTCCAGGTCCAAAGAAGTGTGTCAGGATTGTCACAGTGAGTTGAACTGTCTGGTTCATGCAGTGTCACTGTGTGGAAGCAGAGCATGAGGTGTTTGGGATGTGCATGTACAGCAGCATTAGAGCAGTGCTCTCCTGCTCCTAACTAACAATGTTACTGCTTGTCAAATATTTGATATCTAATTCTGAGGTAGAAATAGGTGTAACTATTCAGATCTAACTATTGTAATGCACTCTCTGTGGTTGGTCAGTGGTTGCTTTGTGTTGAGGAAACACATGGGAAGAGTCACTTGGAATAACAAATCATCTTTCTCATCCCTCCAGGTTGCTGCTTGGCCTGGAATTCGCTTTCCTGGTGTGGTGGGCTCCTAAAGTAAAGCATGAAGGAGGATTTCCTGTCTACTACTACGCTGTGGTGGTGCTGAGTTATGCTCTACACCAGGTAACACTCCCGGTGTGGGGAGGGGAAATGCTGTTCCCTGTCTTGTCCTGGGTCACACTGGAATCCCCCCAAGCCTGACCTGTGCTGTGTGGCAGAACTGACTTCTAATACTCTTGCTGGTGTTACTCCTCTCTATTCCCTGTGCTCCACTGGACATCATCTGTGAGCTACTTAGAGTTCTCCATGTCTGGGGTGGTTCCCCAGATTCCTTTTTCCCCAGACCCAGAAGCTCAAAAGCACAGAGGAGCTGGAGAAACCCCAGAACTGTGCCTGAGCTTGGTAGGCATGCTGATGAGTGTACTGGTTGTGCAAATAAATAAAGTTATGTGATGCTGGTCCTAGGAAAAAAACTCAGTTGTTGGAGGAACATCATAATGGATCCGATCCAAAGACTTGGGAAACAAGCACCTGATACACGGTGATCAGAACTGGAATGCAGGGCCTTGAGAGGTGATTTTTAAATGCAGAAGGTTGTGTTTTAGCTGGCTGATTGTATTTCAGTTTGATAGCCCAAGTCATGCCAGTGCATGTGAGGCTGGCTCTGTTGCAGCATGACTTGAGCCGAGCAGCAAGGCCACTCCCCGAGTTAGCGCAGAAAGGGACAGGCTGCAGGAGGAGCTGCTGCTGGGATCATTTCCCAGTCAGTGCTGCTGAGCTCAGGGGATGTCTCAGCAGCGTTTCAGTTGTCTCTGGCCTGTGTGTGTCCCCAGATCACCCTGTACAGCATGTACGTGGCCATCATGGCCTTCAACGCCAAGGTCAGCGACCCGCTCATCGGGGGCACCTACATGACCCTGCTCAACACCGTCTCCAACCTGGGGGGCAACTGGCCCTCCACGGTGGCCCTGTGGCTGGTGGACCCCCTCACAGTGAAGGAGTGTGCCGGGGCCCAGGGCCACACCTGTGCCACTGCAGCGGCCACAGAGGTGAGTCTGGGGGCTGGGGGGTCTCTGCTCAATGTCCCAGTTAAATGGCTTCCTTTGGAAACCTTCACAATGGATAGCTTGTGCTCACAAATTCCCACTGATGGAGCTCATTTTCCTGTCTGATAAAATCCAGTCTGTTAGCAGCTGTGCACTCTGAATAAGTACCCATTACCCAGGGTTTGCAGCTGCAGAGTAGGGAGCTTTTTCTTCCCATGCTGAGCTGGAGTAGAAGCTCCAGACTGGTGTCACATTCTGTGCAGCGTGAGGAACCTGTAGGTGTGGCTTTGAGTTGTGCAGTCAGGGGCTCTGTCCTTGGCAGCCTTTCTGTCTCCCAGGGCCCTCCATTTCTGTGCTAGGTTTTTCTTCTTCCTGTCTCCCTGGAGGCTTCTTATCTGCCTGCCTTGATACCTTCTCCAAGATGCTGCTCTGCTCTCTGATTTTGGTGTCCACTTTCCCCGTGAAATCAAGAGGGTCTGGCTGCCTGCCCAGTTCTGGGAGCCCTGTGGAAGAGAACAAAGAACTTGCTGTACACAGATCAAACAACAGGACACAAAACTGCTGGGAAAGCAACATTTCAAATTCACCTCCTCACAGCAAATGAGACATTTGATGTAGCTGAAGAGTGGAAATGTTTGGGGTTTGTTTTTTTTTTTTTTTGTTTTTTTTTTTCTGTGCCCATGACTGAGATTTATTTCCCTCCTGAATGCCAGGATGCTCTAGGACATGGAGGTTCTCTAAATGATCAAAGTGTTCTGGAGTCCAGCATGACTTGTCTGAACTGGAGTTGCAGTTTTTGTTGGTGCAAGGGGAAACTGCTTCTGCAGCAGATGCTTTCCCAGCCTCTTGCTCATTAGCCTGTCACTAATTAGGTTCCTTGTGTCTCAGCTTCTACTCAGGTTGAGTCCTTCCTCCTTCACCTTACTGCTCTGATCTTTTCTCACATCCTCCTGGTTGGTGACATTCCACCACCACTCCCTTCTTATTCCTAATCTGATTTTGACATGTCTCAGAATAATGAAAATGCTGGCAGAGCCTCAGCTCAGAGAGTTGATTAATCCTGGGATTAGAGCAGTGTTGAAAGCCAAACAATAGCAGAAACAATCCTGGGCTGTACAATCACCCTGTGAATGCTGGGTGTTTGTCTTCCAGTTCAAAACCATCCCTGGGTGTGTTTGTCCTACGTACAGAATCATGGAATGGTTTGGATTGGAAGGACCTGAAAGCCACCCCTGCCATGGGCAGGGACACCTTCCACTATCTCAGGTTGCTCCCAGCCCTGTCCAGCCTGGCTTTAGACACTTCCAGGTCTGGGGAGTCCACAGCATGGATGGCTAGGGAAAAAAATCATCTTTTTCTGTGAGGTTGGGAGCAGTGGTTGCACCTGCGGGCCAGCATTGACAGCGGGGCTGTGTCTGTTTGCTGGAGTTTGCCCTTTGGGCTGATGTGCTCCATTTCCCACCTGTCTAGAGCAGGTTTGGTACTTTGTTACTTTTCCTGCTGCTGATAAGCTCAAAAGCCTCTGTGACCAACTGCATAGGAAACAACAAAGAGTAAACAACTCTATTTAGTCCTGACCAGAGCAGGGAGACCCTGCAGCTCTGGAGAGCTGTGTGTTCAGTGCATTGCCCTGTGCTCTGTTTCAGCTGTGCACAGCAGCTGGGGGCTCCTGTGTGACCACCCTGGATGGCTACTACGTGGAGTCCATCGTCTGCGTCATCCTGGGCTTCGCCTGGTGGTTCTTCCTTGGACCAAAATTCAAAAAGCTGCAGGACGAAGGCCAGTCCTCGTGGAAGTGCAAGAGGAGCAATTGATGCACTTAGGTGTTGGATGGACCAGCAAGGTGGTTTTAGTTTTATTACAAAGACATACCCCATAATCAGCACCCCGGAACGTCGGTGTTCCTGTGCCACGCCAGGGAGATCTGCGTGGCCGAGGCAGGGCTGTGTGTGGCACCACTGCCCTCCCCACAGCACGGGCAGTTCAGAAAGGAATGGCTAAAGCAGCACCTCTGTGCCCCATGCTTACCCCTGCCTCCAGAGCTGCTGATTCCATAGGGCACCTCTGGGAAAGCTCCTCGTGCCGTGGCTGTAGAGGCAGCAGCATTGCCAGCTGAGTGCCAGCTTTTATTTTCACACAGAAGTGATCTGACAGGGCAGCTGAGCCGGGGAAGGATGCCCGAGGCATTCTGACGTGGAGGTTAAGCATGGTACTGTGGAATTCCTTGTGGGAAGATCAATGTGAGATGTCTGTGGGCTTTGCTTCTTCTCACTTTCTGAACTGTAACAACGCCTCGAAGGATGAAATGTTCCGGAGATTCTTTTAAATGTATTTTCTGGCTTTTATAAGCTTTAAAGATTTATAAGAAACTATTTTTATAAGCAAATTACATTTGTTTAATTTATTTCCGCTGTTTCAAGGCAGTTTGATTTACGTTCAAGGTACTTTCTTGATGGCAAAATGCTGTAAGGTAGGACTGGAATCACGCACAATCCTCTGAGCCTTGAGTCCTGCAGCTGGAGCTGGAGGTGCTTCCCAAGGGAGGGCATGTGGGCCTTTGGAAGGGGTGAGTTGAGAGGGGAAAACCAATCCATTGGTTATCTAAACTGTCTTAGTAAAATTTGAATATTCATTCTCAAAAGCAGTGGGAGCACTGAGACTCCCCCCAGGCGGGGGTGAGAAGAGTGATGACAAAGTTGCCAAATTCCCAGGGAGCTGGTGCAGGACTCACCCTCACACCAATCCAACGGGTGCAGTCCTGGGCAGAGCTGCTGCAGAATTCACTGCTGGTGCCACGTGGTGGAAACATTCCCGCTGGATTTCTCCCACTGAGCTCCCTCCTGAGTGCCTTAGGGACCCACAGGTGCTGGAGAGGCACTCAGACCCCGCTGGGTGTGTGTGGAACGTTGGTATCAAAAAGGAAAACTATTAAACATCCCTTGCAAAGGTGCAAGAGGTTCCCTGCCATGTTTCTTGTCAGTATTTGAAGGACTGGGCTGGGAGGGGGTTTGGGATCTTCTGCTACTGTGTGTTTTGGGGAAAAGTGACCCAATACCACCTCGGGAGTGCTGGGGAGGCGGGTGGGTGTACCAAGGGTCTCCTTGGCATCAGGGGTAAGGAGGGGACTGGAAGAGGACACTGACCTCGTGCTTCGCTGGACACGGCCTCCTGTCCTCTGTCCCTCCCTCGAGGGACACAGCTGACAGTTTGCTTCAAGCACAGCAAAACCACTCCTGCTGAGTGAAATCACATGGGTTTTACTGCCCAAGCTCCATGCCTTCTGATTTCCCCTCTGCATAAGAACAAAGTCAACAAAAAACATATCAGATTTATGGCTGCTCCTTTCAGTCCCTGTCCCACCAGCTCCACTGCATTAACTCTGTGAGGCACTTCAGTTCTGTATCCCCTCTGGAACCGTGGGCCACTTACTGAATTACATCTTGCTTACCTAGAGGGGTTGTTTTAACTTTCCTGATTGTGAGGAAAAACTTCCAAGTGTAGAAGCGGAGAAATTAAATTTGCTGTGTATTAGATTTTTTTTTTACTTTGCAATTTTTTTTCATTATTTCTAAAGGTGCCAGTGAAACTTGTCACTAATAAAGATAAGTTAAGGATTGCTTATCAATAATTAGATTATTTCAACAACATCAAAATTACACATGAACTCCAAATCAGTAGATATGTTACCTGAAATAAATAACTGTGTCCTTTTTCAAACTAGTAAAACAAGTTATGGATTAGTGCTGTCAATTTAAGTAGCTATTTTGTAAGTTGGAAATGCTGCTGTGCCAGCCCCTTAGCAGGCTGCTGAAGTCCGCCCATAAGATTTGTATCTTGCTACTTTTTTTCTACCAACTCTGTTCAAAAGTGGTTTTTCTTTTCAACATCAGAATTCGTAGGGACTTAATCTTTAACATTGAAAACAAACAAACAAAAAAACCCCCAAACCAACAAGAACAAAACAAACAAATTTGAAATGCCAAGAAGAAAGGAGCATCTGAAGGGTCAGAGGAGGTGTGGTACAGGTTTGAGGAGCTTAATGCAGAGTTTAACCTCATTGGAGAGGAGAAAGCTCCAGGGAGAGCTCAGAGCCCCTTCCAGGACCTGAAGGGGCTCCAGGAGAGCTGGAGAGGGACTGGGGACAAGGATGGAGGGACAGGAGACAGGGAATGGCTCCCACTGCCAGAGGGCAGGGATGGATGGGAGATTGGGAACTGGGAATTGTTCCTGGCAGGGTGGGCAGGCCCTGGCACAGCGTGCCCAGAGCAGCTGTGGCTGCCCTGCTCCCGCGGGGGCGCTCGGGACGCGGCCATGCCGGAGCAGGGCGGCGGCGGCTCCGAGCGCGCCGCGCTGGCCCTGGCCCGGCTCTCCGAGTGGGCGGACGCGCACCTGGGGCTGCTGCGGGTACCGGGGCTGGGCGGGCACGGGGCTGGGCGGGTACCGGGCCGGGGGGGCCCGCTGGGCCCGGCTGAGCCCCGTTCTCCTCCGCAGGGCCTGATCGCCGGCGCGGCCGTGGCCGGGGTGCTGCTGCTGGCGCGGAGCCTCCGCGTGGTGAGTGCGGGGCCGGGCCCGGGGGACGCGGGGGATGCGGGGGAGCCCGGCACGGCCACTCAGAACAGGCGGGAGCCCGGCACGGCCGCTCGGAACCGGGGGAAGCCCGGCACGGCCGCTCAGAACCGGGGGGAGCCCGGCACGGCCGCTCAGAACCGGGGGGAGCCCAGCACGGCCGCTCAGAACAGGCGGGAGCCCGGCACGGCCGCTCGGAACCGGGGAATGCGGGGACAGCCGGGCACGGCCTCCCGGAACCGGGGGAAGCCCGTCACGGGCCCGGGGGATGCGGGGCGAGACGCTCAGAACAGGGAGGTGCGGGGAGAGCCCGTAATGGGCCCGGGGGTGGGGCGAGAGCCCGGCACGGCCCCTCAGAACCGGGGGCAGCCCGGCACGGCCCCTCAGAACTGGGGAATGCCGGAGAGCCCGGCGCGGCCCCTCAGAACCGGGGGCAGCCCGGCGCGGCCGCTGGGGCCCGCGGCGGGGATCCTGCCCTGCCCTGCCCTGCCTCACGCCGGGGCTGTCCCGCCCGCGGGCTGTGCCGGCGGCAGCGCCAAAGCGTGCCCGTGTTTTGTTGTGGTTTGGGCAGAGCAGGAGCTGGTGGTCCCCCCGAAAGGTTCCCTGCTGGCTCCTGCGTGCTCAGCGCTCAGTGGTCGCGCTGTCCCCCTGCTGGAATTGCCTTTCCCCAGCTCAGCCCGGCTGCCTCCACGGCTGGTGGCTCCCGCCCAGACAGCCCATTCATCTTGGCATTGTCTTCCCTTTTCCTTAAAACTAAAGATTAGCCAAGCGTGCAAGGTTCACAATGCGGTTGCTTAATCATAACGGTCCTGCTACAGCTACTGATTAACGAGTGAGGAAAAACCAGCAGAGTTTGATTCAGGTCTCGAGGGGCTCGATGTCGCTGTCCTGTGGCATCTCCACGGGTCCCTTGTTCTCGCTGTTCCTGACGCCCCTGGGAGGGGTAATGACCCTTTGCCTGTCCCACTGCAACTTGAGACCCCTCCCTTGTCCAAACACAGCTGAAACAGCCTCTTGCCTCGTGTATTCTCTGTCCTTCCACACGCAGAACTGCTTCTGAATGGTTTTAAACATCACCCAAATCTTCCCTCGCTCAGGGCACGCTGGACTAACACCACACTGCTCACTCCTGGAGAAGCTGAGCCTCCACAGGCAGGAGCCACTGTGCTCCCACAGGGTTCCAGCTGCTTTTAAAATCACAGTTACCTTCTTCTTCCCCCTGCACAATTCCAAATTATGCAGGAGAACATTTGTGTGGTGTTTTTACCTAAAAATCCTACCAGAAAACTTGAACTACAAATGTTGCCAGAATTCTTTTTCTCTGTGTTTTGTTTGATTGGTTTTGACCCAAGAGCCTGTGAATGCATTAACCTGGCTGGTGGAGCAAATGAGATCAGCTTTGAACAACTTTTGTTCCTAAAAACCTCTAGGTTTCCTGCCTGCAAGGTCCCAAATTCCCGTGTTCCCAGTGGGAGGCCTTTGGGTCGCAGAGGGGAGGTTTGCTGAGTAAATAACACACAGGGCACGCAGCTTTATTTGTGGTGTTTTGGGGGTTTATTTCCCAGCAGTCATACAGCAGTGCTCAGTGGGTTTCACAGCTCTGTAGGTCAGTTCTCTGCTAAGGCCTCTTACAGTGAGACCTCAGCGTCTTAAATTTTGGGGTTCTTAATTTTTTGGGGTCTCAGTTGTCCTTCTCCCTCACCCCAGACCTGTGGCTGCTCCATTCCTGTGCCACGGCCCAAGTCTTTGCTGCTGCTCAGCTTGGTTTTCCTGTGTGATCACATAATCATCCCCTTTGGATCCTCCCAGGCTGTAGTATCAAATTTAATCTTCTTGTGATCTTCTCAAAGCTGTTCACCTGCCTTTGTCCCTCTCCTGGTTTCCTCCGGGCATCAAAGGCGGGGTTGTTTCTGCCCTCCCTGCTCCGCCTTTGTTTTCAGCGTGTCTGTCCTCTGGCTTCCTTTCACCCCTCTCCCAGCCCCATTCAGGCTGCTTCTAAAACGCTCTTTTCTCGGGGAATCAAGTGAACTTCAATAGGCATTGCTAAAAAAATGGCAGTTTCTGTTCTTTCTCTAAACCTGGTTTTTGTGTCTGCACCGACATTGCAAGTCCTGTAAAACAGGGAAAATTATTAAATATATATCTGTATTCACTTGCCCATGGTGTCTAATAATAGAGGTGGAATTTCCCAAACTATTATAAGACGTTGGATTTAGTGTGGCTGTAACTGCTCTATATTTTTTCTTAGAATTTTGTCTTTTTCTTCCTTCCATCAATAGACAACAAAATTCACAAATCCTTTGGATATACCTGTGGAGTTTGTAAAAAAGAATGTGAAATTGAGAGGGAAATTACATCACATCACAGAGAAGGGCCTGGAAGTTGAGCACATTCCCATCAGCGTTCCTTTCATCTCAGCCATCCAGAGAAAATGTGAGTAATGAGGAAAAGAGTGTGAAGAGCAAGGGCAGAAATGAAATGTGCTGACCTTAGAGTGGCTGCAAGCTTGAGAGGAAGGGCTGAGGCACGTTTCCAGCTCTGCCTTTTGGTCTTTCTGTGCTTTGCAGGTGGGAAACTGGGGAGTAAAAGACATGAGGAGATACGTACAGTTTGTCACTAGAGTGTTTGTGTTAATCCTTACAGTTACGGTGATATTTTCCAGCAGCAGAAGTGAGCACTCAGGCAGTGCTTCTGCTTGCACAGCTCATCTCATTCCTGGCAAAAAGCCTCTGTTGGAGTTGTGCTTTTGTTTGCAGACACCGATTTTTGGGGACAGTTTTTCTGTCAGAAACAAACTGTCCATCAAGCCTGTGACTCTCACACTGCCTGTACAAACAC